CACTTGGGCTGTGTCTGTGTGTGTGGCTGGGTGTCCCTTGTATTCACAGAGAGTCTGGCCAGTGCCAAAGAGGAGAACGTGGGCATCCACCAGGTTCTGGACCAGACCTTGTTGGAGCTGAACAACCTCTGAGCTGCCCTGGGGAGCCCCCGTCCCTCTTCCCTACCCCACACGTGCACCCCACTGGCATGCTCAGGATGTCATCAGCTGAACTGCATCTTGGCCAAATCCACACATTCATTGAGAAGGGAAGCCCTGTAGCCTTACACCGTGGCTCGGGGGCCTTATCTGTGCACAGCCTGACTGGCTCTGTCCTGTCTTCATGTCCAAATATTAAAGCAGTTTGACAAGACAGATGGGTGTGCTTGGTCCTTGTGGGTGGACGTGGATCTTGGGGGTGCGGTGGGGGCCTCCCTGCCCAGTTCGTGCAAGGAGGCTCTGCAGGGGCGTGGGTCCAGGGTGGGTATGGCCGGCGTAAGGATGTCCTCTGCGGCCATGGGGGGCTGGGAGCAATAACGCACATGGTTTGGGCTGCGTTCCCTCATCTCCATCGCTTCCTTGGGATGCATAGGAAACCTCCACGTCTCAAGCTCAGTCCAAACTGACCATCCTCTTCAAGTGCACAGTGACAGACATATGTTACCGACGTGTCCCCTTCCACAGCCAGCACGTTACCTACTTGGGGGAACCACAAGGTCTTTGACCTCTCCATGGAGTCTGCTTCATGGTTCATGTTCATGATGCCATCTGAGCATGCATACAAACATGCGACCATGCATGCACACATTATTAGTTATCAGGGTCTTCTCCAGGTCTGTGGTTAGCTGCTTACCCCGCATACTAGTTGTGTTTCCTATTACCAGTTGCTGAATCCCTGCTTGAGGGATAGCTGTATAAACTAGCAAATATTAATGCAGTAGGCAACCATTTCCCAAAGCATTCAGGAAGTTTGCTCCTGGCTTGCTGTATTTTCTCCAACACAAAGAGAAGAGCAGCAGGATGTGGCTCATTGCTGCCACCAAAACGGGCTGGATTCCCTGGGGATGCTCAAAGCCATGATCTAGTCCTGCTCTCTGCTTTGGGCCACTCCGTGATGTGCATCGAGCCCTGTTGTCCCACACTACCCGGCGGATATCCCTCTAAAAGCACAGCTTCATGCTGCCAGGAAACATAATTCATGCTGGCCCCTTGCTGAGCCAGGCCATCGCCCCAGCGAGCGGTCAGCAGGGATAGCTTTCATTATCTGCTTTCCTTTATTTGTCGTGCCTCTCAGCTCAGGAAAGGAGGGTGGTGAGATTGCATCTCTTTCCTGCCCAGGTGCTGCTGGTCTCCTGCCCTCCCCCTGCCTCGGCACCTCTGGTTTGTGGCTCCAAGACCTTCTCCTACAGGGAAAAGGGCTCCCCTTGCATGGGGTGCTTATTTTCTGGTTGTCCTCCCAGGGTGCGAGACCCGCCGTGAGCTGCCGCCTCCCGCCCTGGACGTGCTGGAAGGAAGGACGGTGCACGGCCGTCCTGGCCCACCGAGCTGGCCCTGAGCAAGGGCTGGAGCTCCTCCTTGGGTCCACCTTGCTTTTCCGCAGCACATCAGCTGAGCCGTTCAGTTGTTTGGTCTAAGCACCTTCCAGGCAGGAGCTTGTCTGGCTGCCAAAGGAACAAGAGCGTAAAAACCACCTCTTCTCCGGGAGCCTGCACCCCGTGCTGCAAACAAGCCTGCCCTGCGCTCCTATCAGGGTGCGTCCCCAGCGCCCAGCCTCTGGGCACCCTTTGCCTTCCTGCTGGGACAAAGAGCTCTTTCACACCCAGTGTTTTTCCCCATGAGCTGCTGCCGCCTCCTGGTTTGGACCAGTCCATTTAACTTAACTGTTTACACCCTGCCTTGTGCAAGGGCCTTTTTTTTTCCTCTGACCTTTCTGTGGTTTGGCAGTGGGATCCTGGCTGCTGTTCCCGAGTGATGGCTCTGCCCCAAAGACATGAGCCTATCTTTCACGGTTCAGCCAAGCTTT